TGGACTGCTCGTGCTGCAAATGCCCCAACAGCACTGGGCTCTTATTTCTGCCATCTTGCCTTCCTGCACCCAGACTCAGCCCTGGGGGCAGTCTCTGCAGCCCCAAGCAGGCCCTCTGTGCCGCCCTGTGCTCTCCCCCATGACCCTCTGAAGCACCCCCCATCCGAACCTCTAGAGGTCCTTCGCTTGGTCCCAGCACCACAGGACCAAATCCAAGCCCCTCAGCGTGGCCACGGGTATCTTAACCTGCGCCTGACATGCCTGCCCTCTCTTCCTTGCCTTTGCCCGGTTCTGAGCCACCCCCATCAGCCTCCAGGTCCAGAGGCCTGGGGTGTTTCTACTCACTTTTCCACCCGCACTCTGAATCCCACAGGTTAACACGACTGGCTCCTGTTTGCTGGGAACATCTCAAGGGCACGGCTGTGACTTCTCCATTGTTCTTCTTGCCGGCTGGCACCTGGGGTCGGGCGGAGCTTGGGTTTATGTCTGGTGGAGGAGTGAATGAACTCTGGCCAAGGCCTCGCAGACACCAGGCCCCAAAGCGAGGTGGTGTGACCCAAACAGCTGCCACCCATTAGGACACCAAAGAGGACACAAGTGTTTCCAGCAGTGGGCACGGGCACAAAGCGCGGGAGGTTGGGCGGGCGGCTCCCGGGCTGTATCCTCCAGGCCGGCTCAGCACAGGCTCCGGCGGGCGAGCATAAATACATAAAACAAACAGCCCGCGCCCTGCTGCTGAACTAAAAATAGGAAGCCTGGAACAGGCTCCCCCGGCTCCTCGCGATGCTGGGCCACACAAGTGTGGATGCGGATATTGGGAGGTGCGGCCTCTCACCCTCTCGTAGCTCCCCAACGCTCCTGGGGAGGAATGGGGGGCACTCTGGGTTTCCGCAAGGAACAGCTCTTTCTTTCTCTCTGCTCCCCTCCACCCCCCCCCGCCCCCGCACTGCCATTTGACAGCTCATTTCATTTACGACCCCAAAATGAACTGAGGGGCTTTCCCTGCTAGTGGGGCCAAGCTGCTGTCTGGTGGGCCGAGGGTTGCTCTGTGTTGGGGATCCTGGGTGCTGTGTTTATGGGGTGTGGGTGAAAGATAGGCCTAGACCAGCTCCTTACCTTGGTGTCCTCAGACTCTCACTGTTTGGGTCTCTGGGCAGAGGTCACAATCTGTAGCTTTGAAAACCCTGCCAGGAGGCCCATTTGTTGGCTGAAAAGTCAAAGCCATAACCATGGCTGGCAGCTCAGCTGTCCTGGGGCTACTTCCTAAAGCCAGCAGGCAGGGCTGTCTGGGGACTTCACCCCTCAGGAGGTGCCAAGAAAAGTCCTGAGCCCACGAGAGCACCCTAAAGGCAGCCATGGGCTGTGGGAGAAAATCAAGACATTCTGAGTTTTTAAAACAGAATCCTGGAACCCAAGCTTCTAGGCTCCAACCGAACAGTTTCTACTCAGGACTTGCTGTTTCCTGCTGGTGGCTTGGGCGAAGGGTTTGAACCTGACTGCAGGAGACTGGGGTTCCTGGATTGGGGATATCAACTTTGCTTTGCAGCCAGGTAAACCTCTATTTCTGAAGATGGGATTACAAGCTTTGCAATGCCATAGCAGCTGCGGGGCATGGACCTCCCACAAAAATGGAAAGCAAAGCCTTCCCCTCACATTGATGTTCCGCAGGTGCTTCTGGAAGGAGCCTGCTGAGATAAGGAAGCTTTCGAAGCTGACTGGGACTGACTTCCTGGGGGTGCTAAGGGGGCAGTGCTGACTCTCTCCCCACATGCTGCCACCTCCAGGCCGCTGTGGTTACTGCAGCCCTTTCTCCCGCTGCCCTCTTAACTCAGGCACTTAACTTGGGGTCTTCTCCTGGGAAGCTGCCCGGGTCTGCACCTGCTGGGGTGAAGGCAATGGAGCTAAGCGGCAAGGACTCTGGAGGCCACATCTCCCCTCCCATCAGCAGGGGCACAAAGCGCTGGTGGGAGGCTGAACAGTGGGCCCCTCGGCTCCTCCTTGGTTTCCTGCCAAGGACCCCCGAGACACACACAGGAAAGCTGGGTGGGCAGGTGTGGAGATGCTGCTTCAGTGAGCCCTGCTCAGCCCCAGCACAGGCAGAGATCCTGCTCAGAGGGTAACTACTGCCCCCCTGGTTTGGGGATTGCAGATTTGAGCTGAAAAATGAGAGCATCTTGTGAGGGCTGACTGCGCTGAACTCAGGAATAATTTTGGTGGCATTTCCCTCATGACAAATCCCCTCCCCAAGTCCCAGCCAGCCAGCCAGAAGGAAATGGGGTGAGTCAGGGAGGATAGGGGTGGTGAGGCAGGTCCCCACACCATCACACCCACAGCCCCCACCACAGCCCACAAACAACGCTGGGTTGCCAGGAAGCCAGATGACACCCCTTCTTGCACTTTGAGGGCCTCATCTGCAACATGGGGGAGTGGATACCACGGTTGGCTTTGCAGTGTGGATAGCTGCTGGCTGACACTGTTTAGCAAACTCAGGTTCCAGAAGGATCCTCACCCAGTCTGCTTTGGGCTCTACCTACCTCTGGCCCATGGGATCCCACTGAACTTGGGTCCCAGCTGAAAGAGGCGCCCCTTCAGTTGACTCTTAGAGAGTTGGGCTTCTCTGTCATCCTGGAGGAAGGCCTCACTAGCCACCCTTGCTCAGCCTGGTCTCCAAGGACTTTCCTGAGGGGGCTGCATGCAGGGAAGCCAAAGCACTGAGGGGCCCAGAACAGCCCGTTCATTATTGTTCCTGCCCCCCCCAGTCCTCCTTAGCCATGGGGGGGGGCTGTCTGGAGTCCCCCAGCCATCATCCCCAGACCAGGTACACAGTCCCAGGAGCCTGGCACTGAGATCCTTCAACACAGCTGTTATATTATTGTAACAAATCAGTCAAAATTCCATTTAACAGTTAAATAGTACAGAAGACAGACAGTTTACTGTACAAGCAAGTTGTGCATTAAAAACAAACACACCAAGCAAATCATAGTGCAAAGCAGTTTCCACCCCTCCCACCCCCTTGTCTGCCCGGGATGGTTTCACAGATGAATGTGGCAGATGTGACATCCCAGTGGGACAGTATGTCACAAAGGATGTGCACCCACCACCATCACCAGGCTTCTAGTGAGACGTTTCAACATCCCTCAGCTCCCTTGTGCTTTCCAGATCCACGTGCCTGCTGGTACCACTTGCTAGTTGGGGCTGTCCCCACCAGGCCAGGCTACCTGTCTCAGAGCCAGAGGGACACAGCCTGGCTGCTGTCACTTTGTCAGGGGGTGGGCCAATTTTTATTTCCCATCCCCACCAGGGCTTGGGTCTCAGGAAGGGGTAGTAATTGGGGGGTGGGGTGGGGCTACAAAGTGCCGGGCACTGGGAACCCAGGGAGGCTCCTCCCCCATGGGTCCGGGGCCAGTCTAGAACCACAGAGAAAAGGAACAAAGGTGGTGTCAGGGCGACGGACTTATAGCTGTTTCCTGAGAGGGGGTGGAGCCCCCTGGATGGAGGGATTGGAGGGGCCCTTCAGGAGCTGTTGTGAAGAGATGGAGACTGCTTTTTCCAGTGAGGGCAGACAAAGAGGATGGCAGCCAAAAGGGCTGGAAGAAGAGCAGCCTTCCTCGCCTGCCGGCCAGAGTGAATGCCTAGAGTGTCTGACTAGCTGTTGGTATGATTGGGGGTGGCCTGGTAGGCCAGGGGTGCTTATGGAGACAACCACTAAGGAGCATTCTGTAGAGATTTCTACATTCACAGAGGATGTGGCTGAAGCCATTATGAAAAACCACATGCTGTCTAGCCCTTGTGTTTTCTTGTCCTGGTCCATAAATGCATGTCTGTAACTAGAGAACTCGGGCAGTGAGGATCTGGGCAGCAGACACGGCCAGGTCCACTGTCCCAATGGTGAAGCGGGGACAGCACTTCCTCTCCCAGCATTGGGGGATGGCCCTTTGCAGGACATCCACTGGTCTTTCTCCTCGGATAAATATCCAAGTGCCATGGAGGTGATTCTGGCTTCTCTGCACCAGGGTGGGCCTTTTGTGGGAGCCTCGGGGAGGCTGTGGGAGGGACACATGAGGGCCTCGTCCACATCTCTGAGATGGCAGGGTGGGGATCGGGGGTGGGGTGATTGGGGGCTGGAGTTCACCCTCACTGGGCCCTGGCAGAGGCCGTGTGTTTGAAAGTTGGATGAAGCTTCTGTTTCTAAAGTCAGCCTTAAAGCTGGTTTTTAGTCTGGGCTGCTTTGGGAGCAGACTGATCAGAGAAGAGCAGCTGTGGGTCAGAGGCTCAGGGCGGGGGACATGACATAGCCTGGCTGGACTTTGGTGGACAGAAGTTAACCTGAGGCCCAGAGCCACCTCTCTCCCTTTTTCTGTTAGGACCCACTTGGTCCCTGGGCTTTCTCTCCAACCAGCCATTTAGAGACCAGTGCAGAGGCGGGGACATCCCAGGCCCGGGCGGGTAAAGTGCATGTAAGCCCGCCTAATGCGGGGACCTGCTGATTTAAGACGAGTCACCCCAGGGCCTTGGGCCCACAACAGCTGGGGAGGGGAGGGGGTGCTTCTCAACTGTTAGAAATTGTGGAGAAGCAGAACTGAGGGACTGGCTTGGGAAAGTTCCCGTTCCATCTCTGCCATTGATTTCCTGGGTTCTCTGGATGGTTCCATCCATAGCTATACAATTAGAGGAACCCCTCTCAGGGGCTGGGAGGGGATAACTTCCAGTTTAGACTCCATTTATAGAAACGGGGACGGGGGTGCTGGGCTGTGGGGTGCGGTGCCTCTGAAGAAGATGGTCGGTGGGGAGGCCTTCCCAGGACCTGTGGCTGCGACAGAGTGCGCAGGCAATGCCTCTCTGCAGCAGAGCTGGCCTCTGGGCCGAGCCCCAGGCCTCCTGTGCACACGGGGCAGCTGGGTGGCAGCCAAGCTGTTCCAGGGCTATGCCAGGAGGAGGGTCTATTCCTGTAGGAACTGGGATGAGATGAGTAGGATGTGGGCTGGGGTGGTGCCCTGGGGCCACTCCTGGCCCTTCTGTACAGAGATGTGGCTGGACTAGGTGCTCTCAGAGCCCCCCACCAGCTCTGGCCCTGAGTCCCAGGGACCCTGGGCCCAAGACTGCCCTGGAGCATACGCCCCATCCCTGCCCTGAGCCTTGAGCTGAGTCAGCCGCTGCTGAGAAGGCTCGTGGGGTCCCCGCTGCCAGCAGGAGCAGTCCAATGGCCCCCAGGTGGTCAGTAGGGCCGCCACACGGCCTCGTCCATGCGGCCCGGCGTGCTCAGAGCAGTGGGCGAGTTGCTGTGGCTGCCGTCGGCCTCCACGCCGTCACTCTGGCCGCCCAGGCTGGGGTTCATGAGGCTGCCGGCGGCCACAGAGGCGGCGCTGCTGGTGCAGGAGGCCAGCATGCGGGTGGGCGAGCGTTCGCCCCCGCTGCTGCTGCCGGCCACCATGGAGAACTGGTAGGAGCCGGAGGAGGTGCCGTAGTAGAGATGGTAGGGGGATGGGTTGGCCTGGAAGGGGCCACTCTGGTTCTGCGGGGCCCCAGGGTAGGGCGGCGGGAGGTAGGTGGGGTGGAAACGGCTAGTGGCCGGCATGCTGAGGCCGCTGAGGCTGGTGCCTGAGGGCGTGGCGCTGTAGGAGAAGGCCGCGGGCATGGCCCCCGGGTAATGCATCCTGGGGTCGGAGAAGGATCTCTCCGGGAGGTTAGGCAGCCCTGAGAAGGGGCGGTCGAACTGGCGGGGGTCCGAGAAGGGGTTCAGGTCCGAGGTACCTGGGGGAGAGCAAAGAGGATGGTCAGCTGCAGCCCACCACCGCCCATGGGCTCTGGCCCTGCAAGCCGCCCTGAGCTGCTGGGCCCTCTGGGGGCTGCGTGGTACAGACACTTGGGAGCTGAGTGTCTTCGCACAAGTCTCGCAACCCTGGCGCCTGGCCTCTCCACTAAGCAAACAGGCAAGAGCAGTGCTGAGACTGCGCATAGTGAGGACTCAGTGAGGGGGCCGGGGGTGCGGGGGGACATGGCCATGCTCAAAGCAGTCCACAGCAGGCAGCCAGGACCCACAAAGATGAGCCTGACACCAGCCTTCATTGTTTCCTGCCAATGGGGTGGTCCTATGGCAGCAGTAGGAGGGCGCTGAGACCCGGCAGCGGCTCTGAGTGGAAGCTGGAGAGGCTTCTGCTGAGTGAGACATCTGCCTGAGGTGTTGGGGTGTCCAGGTCACAAGTGGAACTTCTCTGGGCTTTGGATTCTTCCTAGTCAGCCCAGGGGGTGCTTTTTCAGCATAGTGCTCTAGGGTTGAGTGTGAATCTGTAGCACTGTAGCACTGTCCTCCCGTTGTTCATCGATTTGCTCGAGCGGGCACCAGTAATGTCTCCCTTGTGAAACTTGTTGTTAGTGTTTTTGGCATATTGAATACGCCAGGGGGAGCTTGCCAGGCTCTGCCAGTGAATCTGGAGCGATAGCACAGCGGGTAGGGTGTTTGCCTTGCACGCAGCCAACATGGCCGACCTGAGTTCGATTCCTCCGCCTCTCTCAAAGAGCCTGGCAAGCTACCGAGAGTCTCTTGCCTGCATGGCAAAACCCGGCAAGCTATCCGTGACGTATTCGATATGCCAAATACAGTAACAAGTGTGAATCTGTATTTTTATTTTTTTTTTGGTGGGGGGATCACACCTGGCGATGCACAGGGATTACTCCTGACTCTGCATTCAGGAGTTACTCCTGGCGGTGCTCAGGGAACCATATGGGATGCTGGGAATCGAACCCGGATTGGCCACATGCAAGGCAAACACCCTACCCGCTGTGCTATCGCTCCAGCCCCCTTGAGTGTGAATCTGAAGGGAACTGTGTTCCCAGGTTCAAGGTTTGGAGTTGTAGCCTGGGGTGGGGATGGGAGTGCCTGGCAACATCAGGAATATTGGAAACCTTTCCTCTAGGTCAAGGGGCCTGCATACTGTGCTCATGTCAGAATTCCCAGGGAGAATGCCTGTTGGTCACGCTCAACACTCAGGCATTGCTGGGCACAGGGCTGACACCTCTGCTCTGCTCCCAGGACTGTGTTGCCAAGCGGGAACCCCACTCCAAAGCAAAGGCACCCTCACAGGGTCCCCGAGAGACACTGGCCTCTCAAGGATGCCCGGACTGGTGTGGGCGGCTCCTGATCTCAAGGGACTCTGAGCTGGGCCTGCCCTGACCTCTCTGCCCTCTCTTCAGGTCAGGGGCATCCTCCTACACCCCCCGCCCCCCTCCCAACATACACACACACTACCCTCTAGCCCAGGAAACCCGAGCTGTCGGGTTGCTGTCCAACAGCCAATCCCAACACTGGGAGGAAATGTTTATTTTCTTCTCCCAATTGCCCCAGCTGCTGCGCGGTGAATGAGCCCTTTGAGCTGGGAGAAGCCCCCATTGTGGGCTGCTGCAGCCAAGGGGGGGGGGCAGGGACTAGGGTATAGAGGGGCTGCGGCTCTGTTTTCCAGTGACCAAAGCTAGGGGGTCAGAGCTATCAACAGGCACTGAGAGAAGTGGTGATGAGGTGTCCTGAAGGGGGCCCGTGGGATGGAGTCTGAAGAGAGGATGGGCCCCTGAGAAGGCTCTAGAGCCAGCCCTGCTCACACCCCGCTGGGGCAGGTACCCGGCTTTCCAGAGATAAGAAAACAAGTCTCAGAGAGATGATGTGCCTTTCCCTAAGATGGCACAGCCTGTGCCTGGTAGGATGAGAGTTCTAGCCAGGTCTGCCTGAGGGCAGAATCCTTGCTCCTTCTCACTCCTGCTGGTCCTTCCTCCCTCCCTCTAGTGGGGCACAGGCTGGGGCTACACTTAGGCTGGCTGGGTGGGTCAGGCTGGGTGGCTGGATGGATCTTGGGGGCCCTCATCTCCTTCCTACCCCAGGCCTGCCTGAGACTTTCTCAGGCACTGAGCCCCTATGGAATCTACACCTATGGATAAGGGGCCTCTCCTCCCAAGGGGCCAGAGAGCCCAATTCAGAGGCTCCCTGACTGAACCCCAATTATGCCCATGGCAGGGTCAGGCGTGCAGGCTAATAAAATGCTCCCGTGGGCACACGAGCCAGCACAGTGTTGGGAGGGGGGCGGGCGGCAGGCATGAGCACCTCCTACCGGCCCTTTCCCACAAGGCCACATGGGAAGCAGCTTCCTTCCAAGCAGGGTCCCCCTCCTGCAGGAGTCTCTGGGCTGGGGGTGCTCCTATATGATCCTGCACACCACTCCAGGGCTGCATCAGGGGCAGGTCATGGACAGTATCTTCAATGGCGGACACCCGTGTCCCCCTCCCCTTCAGAGGAGAAAGGTGTGGCTGGGGAGGGGAGGCCTCGGCTGGACTAGGCTCTAGAACAAGTCCTGCCCAACGGCAGCCGTCAGGTCACGGAACAGAGAGCTCCTGGGGTCAGGCACTGGTGGGTGGCAGCAACAGAAATTCACTGAATGAGGAACCACAGGGAATCCTGTGCAGGGTACCAGTGGGAACCAGCATCCCTCACAAATCAGGACCAAACATCTTCAAGGGGCTGTTGGTCTAGTACCAGATAGCCAGTACCCAGGACCAATCCACTCCTTCCCCCTGCAGCTGTGTCCTACCTTGAATGGGGGTCTGGGCCTGGCTGCTGAAGTGGCTTGGGGTGAGTGAGCTGCGGGGGCTGGGCGTGCTCGGGGTCACCCGCCTGCGCAGCAGGTCCACATCCACAAAACGGTCAGGGAACGCCTTGTTCTGGTCCTCCAGCTTCTGCCGGTGCCCTGTAGAACAAGGGAGTCTTAGTCAGACAGTGCAAAGGGTCTCAACTCAGAGCACGGTGCTAACTCAGGAGTGATGCCACCTCTGGTCCCCAGGGCCTCCTGCCTGCCTCCCCCTGCAAGGGAGAGGGTCCCTGATGGACTGCGGCTCCTCCACTGAGGTACCAGGACCCCCAGCACAGCCTTCTTTCCTGTCTCAGTCACCCCCCTCATGTCAAGGGCCCCAGGCTCAGAGGTGCTGGCAGTTCCATGAAGCATGCCTGCCTTCGGGCAGTAGCTGAGGCCAACCCTGAGGTTGGCTTCTTGAGAGTGACATGAAATTTTCAGGGACTTCCCTCTTGGGCACATACACATGCACATGCTCAAACATGTACATACACAGATGCACACACGACACACACACACACACACACACACACACACACACACACACCTTTTCAATTACTCATTTTCTCTTTTCTTTTAGGGTCCATACCCAGTGGTGCTCAGAGTTTACTCTGGGGGGCTTGGGGTACCAAAAGAGGTGTCAGGGATTGAACCTGGTCAGTCATGTGCTAGACAAGTGCCATACTCGCTGTACGATCTCTCCAGCCCCTCATTTAAGGTTTCACAAGCAATGCACAAACATCTTCCAAATGAGAGCCTACACTGAGGCCTGTTGCTCCTTTGACCCACCCCCTGGTGCCATGGTTATGGAGAGCTTTCTTTTCAGACTGGCTTTCTGTGCAGCGGGAGCACAGCAAGTCACTCATGCAATGGGTGAATGTCTCCTGAGCGCCATCCTTTCCTTAGTACCACCCTCTTCCAATTGTGAAAAGAAAGAGTCCCCAGTCCCAAGGAAAGCTGGAGCCTTCCTGACTCCAGCTGTGCGGCACCCACCTGCTCTGCCTGGGTTTGTCTGCTTGCCATGCACCCGGCCGCAGATCAGCCTCTAGGAGGGACACAAGTTGGTCACATGCTCTCTCATGACACATGAGGGCCCCCATGGCAGATGTGGGCTCAGAGCTATGTGTTCTCCAGCTCAGCCTAACACCAAGGCTGATCTGTTTGGCCCCACAATCCCTGTGAGGGGGCGGTGGCCAGCAGGTGGATGGCCTGCCCTGTTTTTATTAACGAGAGAGAAGACAAGACTTGCTTGAATCACACAGTGAAGAAGGGGAAGGATTTCTGAACCTGGGGGTCCCTTGGAAGAGAAGTGTGGGGCAGGGGCTTATGGAGAGGAAGTCTGACACAGGGTGGGGGTGCAGTGCTGTGTGGTTTTCTGGATGAACCCGGAAGTCTGGAAGTCAGCATCCTGCAGGGCTGTGTGCAAGTGATGACCAGCCCTGGGATCAAGGGGCTGGGCCTTGAGTTCTGATTTCCTAAAGGGGTTGCAGGGGATTGGCCACAGATCCCCAGGCTCTAGATGCACCTCTGTCCAAATGTGTATCTGAGAGCCATTGGCGTAAGCAGGAGACAGCCCCGGGAATCACAGTGGGCCCAGCAACTCAGGGAGAATCAGGGAGTTCCACTTTCTGCTCCAAGGAGGCCCTGGGCCCTATGCAACCAGATCACATGATCTCCAGCCAGCCCCCCCACCCCCCACGATAGAGAGGGAAAGGTTACTGGAAGGGTTTTGAGGGGGTTTGGGTGGAGCCAGGGCTCAGGGCTCAGGTGCCTGGGGTGGGCTGGTGGGAGGTAGGTGGTAGGACAGACCAAGCGCCTGAAAGAGGTGCAGCTGCCAACCTGTACAAGCCAGAGGTGCCCTGTGCATGTGTGTGTGTGTGTGGGGGGGGACGACGACCGGTGTTGTAAGTGCTTCCGATTTAGTGAGAGTTGCAACCTACTTTTATGTGACATTTCCTGAATTCTACATGTTGACAACTCAAACACTGAAAACAAACACCCACTCCAAGTTGGAGATTTTGTTTTCTGCCTGCTTTTAGTCATTGAGAATGGAGCACATACTTAGGTCGGGCTGGAGTTCAGGCTGCCCGTGCTGGGCGGACACCGAAGGCAGCAGGGCAATGGGAACAGGCAGGGGCTGGAGACGGAGACTCAGAACAATCTGAATAGTCAGGAAGGTCTGGGGGTGGAGACCGCAGGTTAGGTGCAAAGGATCCGGTGTTTTAGTCAGCCACACGATGCCAGTGTGCCAATGGGGCCGCCAATGGGGCTACAAGAAAGCTGGGGCTAAACCTCAGGCCTTCTCATTACCGTCACCGGCAAACAGCCCCATTTCTGAGTCACACTGTGGAGAGAGGGTGGGGTTTGCAGCCAGTGTAGGTTCCAGGATGGGCCCTGACACTTGCAGCCGTGGCCTCGCTCCAGCCACACTCCCTTTGCCCCACTCCCAGCCACAGTGTCAGCACGGTGCCCTCATGCGGGAGGCCACCAAACAAGGCTGCCTGGTTTCTTCCACCCACAGGATCGCCACCGTCACAGGTGCCAGTCCGACCCCTGCAGGGAGGCAAGATTAGCACCCCACGATAGGGAGCAGGTTGTACCTTGGGTCTGAGACCCAAAGCCAGGACAGCCAAGTCCTGACCAACTTCCTGTTTGTTCTGCTCTGGCCAACTTCCTGTTTGCTCCCCTGGACAGCTGGGCCCACTGTATCTTCAAAAGGACCCCCACCTCCCAGTGTCATGTGGTCAGGTCTGGGGCCGGGTCTGAGCCTGGTCATGAGGCCACAGGCGCCTGGGCTCAGTGCATGCTGCTTGGCTCCCATGGGGCAGCCTTCCTTGCCAAGGGCTGTGTGAGCAGCGCTTCAGGCATTGCTTCCCAGCGGCTGTGGAAGTCACGGTAGAAGGGGCGAAGGGAAGCAGAGGCAGGCGGCTCCTCATGGCCAGGGCGCCAGAGAGTCTCAGAGCCACGGGGCCTGTGCCGCACTCTGGGAGCAGAAATGAACTTCCTGTGCCCGAGGAAAGAAGATGGGCACAGAAAAGGCCTCTTTCACTCCGCTCCCCATGGAGGGAGCCGGGCGGGGGATCATGCCCTTGATCACCAGGGTCCAGGCCTTTCTTGCTCAATATCTCCTCTGGAACTGTACCTACAGGCCCCTGATGTAAGGTCACAAGGCTTAGCCCCCCAGTTAAAGAGGCTTCCCAGAGGAGGGGGGCAGGGCGCTGGCTCTCCCACCACCTCTTCCTGCTGCTGCCACTCCCATGGTCTCCCATGCTCCAGAGCCTCTGTTCAGCCACAGGCCCTGTGTGAAGGCTTTCCTGGGCTTGGGGGAGCAGTCCAAGAGCCCCTCCTCCGGGAGCCTCCCTTCTCCCTCTCCACAGCAGGCCAAGCCTCCTGTGCAGCAGCTGCAGCGGTGACTGGGGCAGAAATACAAACCAGCCCTTGCGTCCTGGGCTCTTCCTCCACCATAAGCAGGCAGCATCAACGCCTTGCCCTAGGAGGGCCCTCCACGATGAGTGATCACCACCTTAGCTGGCATCTATGTGGGTAAGCACTGTTCCATCCCTTGTGAGTGGCTGTTATGGTCACCACCGTTTTGTAGATGGGATGGAAGAGGCACGTGTCAAACCGGGAACTGCCAGCATGACTCGGAGCTCAGCTGCTAGGAGACCTCCAAAAGAGGAGACTGGGCAGCCTGGCAGCTCCGAGTCCTGCTCAGCTGGATGGGAGAGCACGGGGCGCCAATGGGACCGGGCTGCAGTCCCAGGCAGGGCCACAGGAACAACATCCTGGCGGAGCAACCTGGGCCCCGTGATGGGGGCCCTTCAGCCCTCTGAAGACACTGGTCTGCTGCCTCTGCTGCGTGGCCCAGCCCTGGTGTGGCCACATCCTAGACAGAACAGCCAGTGTCCACCAGCTATGGGTGGGGCCCTGGCATCTGGGTCCCTGACCTGCTCTGTGGCTTGTTAGGGGATTTACACCCGACCCTTAACCACTGCACAGAATTGCAGGCGGGTGCTGGGCCCGGGGTGGTCTGCTGTGAATCGGCCCCCTGTGAGCAGATGAAAGAGGCTGGTGGCTGGGCAGGGAAACAAGCTGGCAGGGAGCCAGAGGACAGGGAGGCCAGCGGCTCCCTCCAAGGCTGCAATGGGGGCTTCCTGGAGCCTGGGCTTGATTAGGGGAAGCAGGGAGGTCTGAGGTTAACTCCTTCCCTCCTGCTGGAAGTCTCAGGGGATCAAGGGTGTCCTGGAAGCCAGGGGACAGGAGGCAGCCGGAGCCTCTCCTCAGCCTGGACATCCGTCTGTGTCACTCTGTGCCCTTGCTCACTAGGGACCTCTACCCCCTAGGAGTGCTCACCACCTTATGCTGAAACCATGCCAGGGTCTGTGAAAAAGAGCAAAGAGCCCCTTTCTTCAGGGAGCACTTAGAGTTGGAGTAAATGGCCAATGACACCATGAGTGAATGACACAAGTTTGAAAAGGTGATAGGCTTCTGGGGAAAATTAAGGCACCATGGATAAGGGGCTCTGTGTGTAATCTGGAGCAAGGTGGATAGGGAAGGCTCCCTGAGAAGCTGGAATGAGGCCTTCAGGTTGGGAAGGAAGGGGCAAGCCATCAAGGAGTTAGGGGTAGGCTACTCCTGGGAGGGGGAAGGGTGGTGCAAAGGCCCTGGGGTGGAGGGTTGGCATGCAAATGGCCAGTGAGGAGGGTGCAGGGGAGAATGTACTGCTAGCACTGATTGATCAGGGGGTGCCTTTGGGCCAGGACAAACCTGTTCGTTCGTCATCTCTGTCCCCCTCTCCCCACTGGTGAGACCCAACAGGACGAAGGCTGTCAGTTGGCCTCGCTTCAGTGTCCCCAGCTTCTAGAACAGAGCCCGACACACAGCAGGTGCCCAGGAAAATATTTGTTGAATCATTCCATGTCCATTTGGGGGCAAGATGCCACCCGCCCAACTAGCAGGATGAAGGACTGGCATTCTCCCCTTTTAGGCCCAGGCCCTGCTGATCCTTGAACCTGGGGTAAGCAGTGCCCAAATCAAGCCTGAATTGCACCTCCTCCTGACTGTACCCTGGGGTCCCACCAGCTACCTGTGAGGGACACATGAGGAACCTCAGAAACCCAAGACCACACAGGCAGCCTTCAAACGCCGCTGGCCACTTGGCCGCACACTGGGCACACCCAGCCAAGCACTGGAGGGGAACGACCTGGCCGCAGAAGCCACAGCTGGACCTCGGGGATCAGTAGACAGTTCACTCCTCACCCCAGCTCATGGCTCACCACGCAGGAGAAAATCCTGGGCAGGAAATCCTTGATGAGGGATGCTTGAGTTCTCTCAAGGGGTCAGGCTGCTATAACCCATTTAATTCCCATAACAACTCCCCAAAGCAGGTCTACAATCACCCCCATTTTAGAGATGAGCACACTGAGGTGGAGGGTCTTCCTGGGATGGGAGTGGGGGTCCTCACATCCCTAACCTTAGCCTGCCACCCCAGCCTGGGTGGGCTTTGACTTCCTCCTGGGAGGAAGGTCAATTAGTGGAGACCTTGACCTGGCAAATGGGGAGCATGTGCTGATATATCACTGGGCCCATCGGAAGTGCCAACTTCTTTCCTTCCTTTTGCAGCCTCATCTCTATCGGGCAACAGCTTCCTGGTCCACTGGGTACCTCTTCCCATCAGCTTAACCCAAGGAGGGTCTGTCTCTGGGGGGTACCCCAGGAAAGAAAAGCAGGCAGATGACTCAAATATGGAGGGCCTTGCTTCAGGAGTCTCCCTGGGGAGGGCTTGTGGCACTGGGCTGAGTGGGACTGGACGTGAAGGATTCAGACCCCCTTTGGCCCCCTGCTTATAGGCCTCAGTGTGCAGGAGTTTTTAGAGGGGCTCATCGTATGTATCCTCACACTGGGCCTAACTGCAGCTCTCGCCCCTTATGATTCTGCTCCTGGAGACTCAGAGTAGGACTATCACCTCCTTCAATGGAGACGTTATACCTCTATTACCATGGCCCAAGGGTCTCACCCTGCTGCCAACCAAAAGGTTCTCCATCCACCAGTGGTGGAGGCAGTGGGAGTGAAGAGAGGCAAGTGACCAGAAAGAGAACCAGGATTCCCACCACTCACAAGGACCCTCCTTCTGCCACCCAGAGGACACCCAGTTGCCTTGCTGAGCTCAGGTTCATGTCTGGGGGTCCTGTCTCACTTGCTGGAAGAGGGTGCAACATGAGGCCCAGAGAGGTCAGCAACTTGTCTCAGGCTCAGCAAGTAAACGACTGTCTCAGAATCTGTCTTTGTTCCTGGTTCCTTCCGAGTACCCAAGTTATCGCCACCTAAAACTTCTGAGGTGACTGTTTTGGTTTGCAGAAGACAAACCTGAGACCAAACAGGAGAGAGCATGTGCTTAGGGTCATCAAGACATAGTCAAGGGCACATTCTCACCCATAGCCCCTCCAACAGGAAGTGGGTCAAGTAGGTCAAGAAGGAGCTGGCTGGGAGGTGAAGGGTTGTGGGCTGCTGAGTAGGCACAAAAGCCCTCGGAAATCAGAGGGAATCACCTTGAAAGTCTTAGAGGAAAACTTCTTGGATTGGGCCCAAACACACGACCGATGAAGAGTCAGGCTCTCTCTCTCTCTCTTTCTCTCTCCCATTCAGCAGACACAGGCCCGTGGCCTATTCTGCGGCAGGCCTACCTCCAGGTCCCCCAACTGAAATCTGATAAATCTGGGTTCCTCATTCACCAGGCAGACAGCCTTCTGGATGAACATCAATGAGCAGAGAGTTGCATGGAGTGAGGGGTGCATGAAAGGATTGCTGACACGCCACACTGATCTAGACTGCGTGGATCCCAGGTCTGAACCACTCAAGTGAGTCATTTGAAAGAATTTCTAAGGAGGGGGTTTGGCCTCTCAGCCAGACTAGCTTCTGTTTTTGATGCAGGTGGCAGAAGAATGTCCCATCTACTGGCAGAAGAGACTGGGCCGAGCAGAGCCAACCTGGTCCCACCTACATGTCCCAGGGGCAGTTAGGCCCCGAAGAGGGGATCAAGGAATTTAGCCTGTCACTGGCCAGCTCCTGGCAGGCTTCCTGCAGTCTGAGGCTGAGCCAAGAGCGGTGTGTTAGGGGTGTTAGCAGCAGCCACACCTGAATGTGGATGTGGAGGACAGATCCAAGCTCCCCTAACACACACAGACTACGTGCTAGCACTGGTACCATCTGCTCTCAGGCAGGGGGTCTGGTACTTACGTCTGGGTTCCCGGGGTCCATCCACAGTCACCTTGATGGCTCGGTGGTAGGTGGCCACTTGAGTGGGATTGGTGAACACAGTGATGGTCAGCGTGAAACTCTTCCCTGGTGGGGGAAAAAGGGGGAAAGGTAAGAGGTTTGTTCTTGGCACCTTTCACAACACCTGGATCTCCTATCTCACCCTCAATCCTGGAAGGACCTCACCTTCCCAAGGCAGCAGGTCTCTGTCCTTTGAACCTGGGCTAATGATGGGACTCTGGGTGATGTTCATGCTGCTGGGTATGGCCTGGAAGGCCCTCAGGGGTCAGACACTAATTTATCACCTCCCCACACCACCATGCTCTGGTTACCCTGGATCCCTTCCCTCTCCGTTGTGGCCTTTGACTATTCCTTTTGTCCAGAGATCATCATGAATTGGGGGTTAAGGAAGCAAGGATGAGAACATATGTTTATTTCTGAAAGTAATTCATGATCTTTATAGAAAACAGTTGAAAACAGAGAAAATATACATAAAGGGGGGAGGTCTGGAGAGATAGTACAACAGGTAATGGGCTTGCCTTGCACGTGCATGTGGCAGACATCTGTTTGATCCCTGACACCACATATGGTTTCCTGAACCCCACCATGAGTGACTCCTGAGCACAGAGCCTGGAGTAAACCTTGAGCATCCCCAGATCTGGCTCAAAACTCTCCTCTCCCCCCACAAATAAATAAATAAATAAATAAATAAGAAAGAAGAAAGGGCCAGGGAGATAGCTCAAAAATTACAGAGCATGTAATTTTGCATGCAGGGGGGTGGGGGGTGGCTTCAATCCATGGCACTGTCTGCTTCCCCAAACACCTCTCAGAGCAACTCTTGTGCACCAAGCCTGTGCCCCTAAGCACTAGTGGATGCAGCCCAAAGAACAGAAAACAAAACAAAAAAAAAGAGAAATCATGATTTCACTAGCCAGAGATGTGGGCATTTGTGTATTTTCTCTTCCAATCCTTCTTGTGTGGATATGTACCTTTACAATGCTACAGGGACACTAACATATATTTTTGAACTTATTTCTAAAAAATCCATTAACGTAACATCAAAAGCACTTTTCCACGCCATTAAAAAAATCTTCCCGACCTTCACATTTAATGACCACAAAATATTTCTATTCTTGGAAGCCTCATCTTGTTTGTATTTATCCATTCCCTCACTGTCAGGTAATCATGCTGCTGCAAATTTCACATTGGCGTGTACAGCTGGGGCTGGAAAAGGAGGGATGTGGGAGCTGCAGACATTTCATTTGTAGACACAACTGTTATTTCCAGAACGGTTCTATTTTTAGAGAGACATTTGGCTCAAAAGTCTCCATTCAAAATTCCTGAGAGGGGAAAATCTTTTAAAATAATAATTTTTTTCTTACCATTGAAAATAAAATGAAAACGACCTTCTCTTTATAGAAGTCTACATCTCTGCTTATTTCCTCAGACTGGCTTCCAAGCAGCGGTGAGTGATCTTGCCGAGCCAAGGATGAGGTTGTGCTCTGGGGGGCCTGTTCTCTGCAGTCACTAGCAAGAGGTCGCTGTCTAGTGCCTGGCAAGCAGCCCCGTGAGGTCTTCAATCAAGATGGAAATGCTCTTTGAATTTTTTTTTTGGGGGGGTGGGTTCCCTAAGCAGTACTCAGAGGGCCTAGATGCCACTCCTGGAAGTACTCAGGGGACCATGCAAAGTTCGGTATTGAACTCAGGCCTCCACAGGCTGTTCTAGCCCCTGAAAGTCACTTCCTTGGTATCAGGTTGAAATCTTTATGTGTGTCCTACCTATCATAATCCATCACAAATTACTGCCTCATGTTTTTTTTTTTTCTTAAATACTTTCCTATAAGGTTTTGGTGCTTAAAAAAATTATTCTCTGCTAAGCCTGTGAACTTTTCAAGTCAGACTGGAAGCAGCTTCCCAGCTCTCTGGTCTTTCATTTCACTTTCTGACACTGGAACTGCTTTGCATTTTCAGTTCTACCTATTATTATTATTATTTTTTTTACTTTTCTGATTGTTTTAAATTTAGACAGGTTTCCCCAGGAAACAAGCAGATAGGAAGTCTCTAATAGCCATCCTTCCCTCTACTTTCTATATTTCTCTGGTTCTTCTGGGGACTCCTGGTTGATAGAGTATGAGGTTAGGATTCTTTCTCAAAGGACAACCTTATATTTATTTTTGCTTTTTGGAGGGTCAGGGATCTGTGCTCAGGGATCACTCCTGGTGGTACTCCAGGGACTGTATCAGTGGCCGGGATTAAATCCGGGCATCCAGACTGGTTGCATGTTAGGCAAGCCTTCTAATCTAATATACTATCTCTCCCAAAAGTGTATCCTTTTTTTTTTTTGCTTTTTGGGTCATACCTGGTGGTGCTCAGTTACTCCTGTCTCTGCATTCAGGAATCACTCCTGGTGGTGCTCAGGGGACCATATGGGATGCTGGGAATCAAACCCGGATCGGCCGTATGCAAGGCAAATGCCCTATCCACTGTGCTATCGCTCCAGCTCAAGTGCATTCTAATTTCCCCAGCATCTTTACTGAAGTTGGAGCTCACTGTTCTCCATTATATCCAAAGCCTCAAGGCTGTATGAGACAGGTGTGGGTGGGGGGAAATTCTGCAGATGCCCTCATCTCAAATGACACCTTCCCATCTGCCTCTGAGTATCTCTGAACCCCAGTACTAGACCCGAGGTCTCCCCGAGGGCAGGGAAATGGGCCCTTGCACGTCCCCAGAATTGGTTTGGAGAGTGGGTTCCCCTGCTGCTCCTACTCCCAACAACTCTCCCCAGCAAACAGGCAGATCTCACATTCCCACGTGGGGAAGAGAGCTTGTGGGGTGGGGACCGAGCACTTGTGTTCTCCTTGCGCGGCTGGTCTTGTATGTCCAGTTATGGACTGAAAGTTTTTGACCCCAAACAAGTAGAGTTCAGAACTAAAGAAAGCTGGATCCCTGGGGCTGCACTAAGGAACCCCACAGCTCCTGAGACAGTTTTACAGGAGGTGGGCGCGAGTCAGCCAGGTATGACTCAAACCGAGAAAATGGGGGTAAATTTTCCAGAGCCAACAGCAGGAGGTGGGAGTGGAAATGCAGCTGACACCTGCCCCAGGGTCTTTGGTGAGAACAGAGGTGGCCCTTTCCTCTCTGGGCCCAGGGTACTCTGCCTGGGCCTGAAAGGGAAAGTCCAGGAGGCCTAGGGGCGAGCCGGGCAAGTGACTCTGGGAGCCTGAGGCCTCATGCCGCTCCATCAATGCCTGGCGCAACTGGGTCCCTCTTCACTAGAGAATTTAAGTGGACAGCCCGGAGCCAGGTGGGTGGGGGCCCACCACTGCCAGAGAGGCCCGAAACCGCAGGCAGAGCCTGACTCCAGGAAGCCCTCATCTGATTGCAGGAGCCCTGGAGCCACTGCTCTCCTCACTTCCTCCAGGTCTCCACTAAAAAGTTTCCTCTCAGGGAGGCCTGCCTCAGCAAGTGTATCGAACGAACGCCTGGCCTCTGTGGTCCGCCCTTAGAATGGAGAGAGCCCCGTACTGAGATGGGGATGTAAGGGGAGTGGCAGCTGCATTGTTCCTACTCTCAAGACGGAATTCAGCATCACTTTTAAGTATGTTTTGTTCTTGGATCACACCTGGTGATGCACAGGGGTTACTCCTGACTCTGTACTCAGGATTACTCTTGACAGTGCTTGGGAGACCATATGGGATGTCGGGGATCGAATCTGGGTCGGCCATGTGCAAGGCAAACGCCCTACCCACTGTGCTATTGCCAGCTCCAGCATCACTTTTAAGTATGAACACAGGCTGCCAAGCAGAGGCATTCCAGCAGTTCACTCTGACCTTGTTGCCAACAGACGTCACAGATATTTACATATCACATTACAGACGCTGCAGATTTCTCTAAATATCTTCTATGCTCGTCACAACCTCAAAATCACAGTCGTCATCACACCCTTTGTTATTGAACGTTCTAGCAAAGCATACATATTTCACAATTTTTTGAATATTTTGCTCACTATGTTTTAAGACCAACGGTTTTACTGCAATCCTTTGTATTTTATTTTATTCTTCAAACACCATTCTTTTTACTGTTAGAAAAGACTGCTTGCGTAGACATATTCCTTACTGTCCTGTTGAGCAACATCATCTTAAAGCTTATTTTTGGGGGAGAGGCAATTTACATCTCAGAAATAACATCTGTAAATAAATAAATGATCAGAAGCCTAATCGGAAGCATCAAACACCTTCCTATACCCACACCACCTGCTGAATGCCAGCTAGTGCTTTTTATAATAATAATAATAATAATAATAATAATAATTCACTGACTTATTTTTTGGGGGAAGAGGTCTCCTTTTACTAGACTATGAGTTCCCTGGAAGCCAGAATTTTGTGTCTTGGTCACTGCTATGTCCCCAGCTCATAGGACAGCATTTGATATATTGCAGGTGTTCACCCATGGTTCGTGAATTGAATGAAAGGGCAGAGATTCCAGCTCCCCTTTTACAGATGAGAAAATTGAGTCTCACCAGGGAGAGGTGAGTTGCCGAAAGACAGTATTTAGGCAGGGCCCAGGAAGGGTAGAGTGTACTTGAGCCTGCCCCTCCACACAGTCACTAGGCCTGTGAAATGGAAAGCTCTACCAGCAGCAAACCACACACTGTCCCTCCATGTACCTGAAAAGAGGAACGGAGGAGGAAAGGGAGGGGCTGGGACCTGAAAGCAGGGGCGGAGGAAGTTGTCTCCCTCCGGGTTCTGACTTTGCTCATCTACTTCTCTCTCCCTTTCTGAGCTGGAACCTGCACAAACCTGCAACTACAGATGCCCAGGAACTGCACTCATAGTACTTCATGGCCTGGGGTGGAGGAAGAGAAGATGCAGCCTGGGCAGCAGGTATCCTTTGTTGCTCTGAGGGGCCCCAGGGCCCTTGAACAATCAGAATGCACTTCCAGGATGGCACAAGACTCTGCTCCTCTTGACCTGGGCTACTAAGTGGCCAATCTCACCCATAGGAGCTTCATAGGTATCAGGAAGGACTTGTATCGGGCCTCTGCACTTTTCTCTGTGTATGGGGTATTACTCCCAGGGGTACTTAGGGAACCAGGAAGTTCTGGGGATGGAACTGGGGTCAGCCTGATACAGGCTGGGCCTTAACCCCATGCTATCTCTCTGACGCCTCTGGGTTTTCTTTTCTTTTCTTTTTCATCTTTTTTTTTTTTTTTTGCTTTTTGGGTCACACCCGATGATGCTCAGGGATTACTCCTGGCTCTGCACTCAGAAATTACTCCTGGCTGTGCTTGGGGGACCAGAGAGGATGCTGGGAATTGAACCCGGGTAAGCTGCATGCAAGGCAAATGCCCTACCCGCTGTGCTACCGCTCCAGCCCAATTTAACGACAACAACAAAAAACAGATATTTTTTTCCTCCCTTTGCACACTAAGTACCTATTGGATATTCTAGCATGGAAGAGTTTTTTTTTTTTTTTTTTAGATAACTTGGAATTTTCTTGATTTTTTTTTATTAGTGAAACACCATGAGGTACAGTTATAGACTTATAAATTTTTATGCTTGGGTTTCAGTTATACAATGATCAAGTGCCCATCCTCCACCACCACAGGTCCCAGCATCCCTCCCACCCCCCATGCCCCCCATCCCACCCTGCCTCTGTGGCAGGACATTCCCCCTTGTTCTCTCTCTCTTCTTTTGGGTACTGTGTTTTGCAAGAGAGGCACTGAGTGGTAGTCATGTTTGGTTTATAGTCTACTTTGAGCAAAGCATGGAAGAGTTATTTTTAACTGAATTTTGTTCAGCTGTTCATATCCTTAGGAAAGCAGATGACAATGGCAAAGTCAAGTTCACACTTGAGTCAGTAACTCCTCAGCTGGATAATCCACTGTGGTGATCATGGGATTCAGCTGAGAGGGGTCAACATTTAGCCACTGTGCAGCAATCCCCAACAGGCTGGCTGTGATAAAGTACTTTCCTGCCCCATGATTGCTCAGGAGTCAGGCAGATTTTGAGCCAATGTGCCTGTCCCTATAGGCTCAGAAAGGAGCATTAGCACTTGCTGTAAGAATGGGCGGTTTGGGACAGGAACCTCAGCTCTAATCACTGCAGGAGAAACCAGTGACTTGGTTTCCTTCCATTTCCTCCCATTTCTTGGTTCACACCTTCCACACCCTGCGGTGGGGTGTGTGTCTGTGTTTCACAGAAAACTCTCGACATGAGGTCTTCATGGAATAAAAAAGGCAAGGAAACTAACAGAAAATTCCACCTGGCTTCTTCTTCCTGGCCGAAGTCAAGAGAGCCAGGGAAAGGCTCTGGTGTCTCCCAAACCCTTGACCCATCCCAACTCCCATCATGGCCCAAACAGCAGGTGCCAGTCACCACCTTGCTCAGAGAAATGGGAATTTCCCAACAGGCAAGATAGGCATGGCAAGTGCCTGGCTGTGTGCCAAGGACCCCCTCCTGCCTTGCTGCCTCTCTGCTGGTCGCCTCCGCTTCACCCACTCAGCAAAGCACACCTTCTGGGTTTCCCCCACCCCCGCCCAAACCACACCATAATCAGAGAATGAGTGACTGTCACCACTCAAAGGGACTTCAAAGACCTCTCCCAGACCCAGCATTTGAAGTAACAAATCTCTAACATGCATCCCACTCTTAATATGTGCAACTACCATCCCTATGTTACAGATGATGGCACAGAGAGGTCAAGCAATTTGCCTCTTGTGATCCAGCAAGTGACTGTCGGCACAGGGGACTGAAATCCACACTGGCGGTTTGAGAAGTCCTGGCTGTTAAAGCCGGGGAGCCTCCAAGGTCTGACTGCCTTGTCACGTTCTAAGACTGCTGAGATGGGGGTGAGAATGGCTGTGAGAATGACCAATAGGTCCAAGGCTAAAGTATGCTTTGGAACCCATCTCCCTCCCTGCAGACACTAGGGGATGGGGCTCTGGTATGTGAGCATAAAAGCCATAAAGAATCCCTGTTCAGCAGTAGAATGGCTAAATAAAGTCTCAGTAACTCGGAGACCACTTCTTCTCTTTCTAGATCTCACCTCCTAGGACAGAGTCAGGGGCCACCTTCCCGATGCTGGGCTCCCGGCTCCTTCCCGATCTCTTCCTTCATCCCTGCCCCCACCCCAGCTAGGCAGACCTGGCCACAGTTGGTGTGAGACTGTACTGGGGCCATCACCCACCCTTGGCAAGGGACTCTCATTCAGGACCAGGGCTGGGATTAAGTTGCAAGAGGTTTGAGAGATTGGGGATGACAAAAGGGGCTTGGAGACTAATTAGGAGCAGCAATGAAAGCTTAATTCATAAAAGCAAACATTTTCCATCCATCAACCTGCAACCAGTTAAGGGCAACGTTTGAAAGAAATCTGCTAGTGGGGAAGGGAGCCAACAGGAACAGGAAATGTTTGAAAGAATGTAAACTATTTCGGTTTCATAAAAAGTAACAAGTAAACAGTTATTACATGCAAATAATGCCCTGGTTTTAATTAATGCTGAAAAGTCAAAATATGTTTGACATTTGTATGTATACATTGAACGGCTGGAGAGGGGAAAAAAATGGTGCCCAGATGCCCGTCTCTGTGCAGGGCTGGCTGCTTAGAGGGAACTAAAACCTTGAGAAGGTCTTGTTTATTGGTGATGAAAAGTAGAATTCTGCCTCAGCCTCTGTGAGCCCAGGGCAGAGGGAACCTTTCAGACTTTCTTAAGGAAGCTGGAGGGGTAGTTCAGCTAAATGGGAAGGGCACTCCCCACTATTCAGTAGGCTGGTCTTAAAGGGCCAGTGAGTCCTCAATTTCCCATTTGCAGGCAGGCTTTCCAGACCAGAAGTGATGGGTTTCTGGTTCCAGCAGTCAGTGAGCCACTCAATGCCACCGCAGCTTTTGGTCCTGCCTCTCCCCATCAGGTAGATGAGACAGTGGCGGGAGATGGCAGCCTCTGAGCTACTCTTTCCCACATTCAGCACCCTACACTGCACTTCTATTCTAAACCACCTTATAGCTAAAGGGGCTGGGGAAACTGTGGCTTTGGGAGACCACAGCCCGGGAGAGGTAGCCTCAGAGCTGGTGGGGTAGAGGTCGGGGAGGCTGTGTAGGCTGCTGGGGTGCTTAGGATTTGTTATTTAATCTCCCCTGCTGAAAGAACTAAAGCAGCCCCCCTCCTCTGCCCCGGTATGTGGTATGTACGTCTGAGATCCCCCCAACACCAGGGTGCTTTAAAGGAAAATGGGGGAGGGGAAAGAGGAAAGGACTTCAGGAATTAGGAAAGCCCAGAAACTGGAAGAAAACTGTGTCTTAAGAGACCCAGGCATTCTAGCATTCCCCATATCCTCAGAGGGGTCTGGGACACCATAAGGGGTTATAAACAGCTGTTTGACAGAGGGGGAGCCCAGAAATCTGTTTCTGGGACCACCATTGGGATCCCTGCTTCCTAGCCACAGTCAAAGTCTGCTGGGCTGTGAAGGATGCTTTCTGCTCACCTCGTCCACTGCGGCCCACGAAGCGCAGGTCATTGAACCTGGCCACCTGGTTCTTCATGACGGCGGAGGCGTTGCGCAGCTCTGCAGAGTAGTTCTCATCATTGCCGGCCATGACAGTCACCACAGTTCCATCCGGCACGTCCCCCAGCGCCACCACCTGAGGGTACCAGGCAGGCGGAGAGCTCAGAAAGGTAGGGGGAAGCCAGGGGAAGGAGGGGAGGGGCAGGGCTGGGCAGCTCTCCTAGGTCCTAGGCGCACTGCGGATTTCTCAAATGCATCTCAAATGCCCCGTGTATAAGAGGCTTAAAAACAAGAGAGGTCGTCCTCCAAGTACAACAAAAACAACAAGACAAAAATCTCTACCTTCCCTTCCAAGAGCCTAGATCAATTGTTTGAGCCATATCTTAAGAAATGTTCCTTTGGACTCAATTCACCGGGAGTGAGAGCTACGAATTAGCTCAGTCACTATGGTGTGGGGAGCAGTTCCCCTCTCCTTTTACAGCTTGCGTAAAAGAGGAATCAACATTCTCCTAGCAACCAAGTCGCTAAGTGAAAATAACAACAACGGCAACAACAACAACACAACCACACAGCAATAACAACACCAGGACTGCTAAACCGTACCCACAGTCAACGAAAGAGTCGTTTGGGGTGTGAAATTTGGCCCTGAAATATGGCCAGGGTCCAGTTTATGGTGGCTTCTGCAGAGCCTGAATTCGTTAGGTAGGGAAAAAATGCAAAATGCAAAACAAACTCACGCCCAGAGAAGGGCTGTACAGAAAACCCCTGTATAATGAAGGAGGACTTTCGAGAGCAAGAGGATGCACCTGCTGGGAACTGCAGGATGGGGGTGGTGGTTACCCCCCATCCCATCTCCCTACCCCTCACTGTGGGGAGTATGAAGAAGCAGATGCCTTTTGAAAAGGGATCAGACCGGGAACGAAGTCACAGCCATTTAAACGTGGCCACCGCGTGCGGGGACTAGAAATCCAGATGGTAAAAATTTCAAGGAGAAAATGTTTGGGGTCTGATTAAAAAGGCCAGATTTCCTGTCAACATCCTGTCTTCTTTTAATTTCAAAGATTCCTTTTAAGCTCCAAGTGACAGTAAAACCTCCGATCTGAGGATTAAAGTCACACGAGCCCCTCCTCCCCCTCCTCCCCGGGAGATTTTCCCCACTGGTATTTTAAGATGTCACCCGGGAGACCTCAAAGAGCCACTCATCCTTTTTCCAATTTGGAGTCGCCTTAATGGGAGCAAGGCGGGCCTCAGCTGCCAGGAGCCACCGCCGCTTTCCAGCCACCTCGGGCACCGCCACCCCCAGCCGCCGGCCCTTCCTGCCGCGACCCTTTCTCACGGCAGCTGCGAGAGGTTTAGGGGAAAACCAAGGCGTTTTCGTTTCATCTCGCTGCCCCCTTAAAAAATATGAAAATGAAACAGTCGGCGACTGACCCGGCAGAGAAAAAAAGATCCTCTGGATGAAGGGGTTTGCTAGCCTCCCCCCACCTCTGCCTGACATTCGGGATCCTGGCGCCAGCCCGGTTGGGGTTCAGTGGCCCCCGCCCCACTTCCCCAGGGCCTGGTGCCGCCCGGTGCAAAATGTCAGCAGCCCGAGGTAGATGGAGGGTGTGAGCAGGAAGTGCTTCTGAAGCTGCTCCGGAGGAGGGGTGCCGCGGTCCAGGGCAGGTCCACCCCACCCCGGGATCCTCGTCCGGGTCCCGGGGATCCCTCTCTCCCGAGGCCCACACGGCAGGATCCCGGGGATTCGAACTGGGAAGGAGGAAGAGCTCCATCCGTCCGTTTCCGCATCCACATCTCTGCAGGGCTCCCCGAAGGTGCGGGCTGGGGGACATACCCCTGCGAGGCATCCGCTGGGGGTTGCACCCCACCGGGAGCGCCCGGGGCCGGGTGGCCCGGCTCCGGCGGCGGCGGGGTCGCGCCCGTCCCCGTTCCCCTTTCCGCGTCCCCTCTCCGCGCCTGCCTGCCTTCCTCCCGCCGCCGAGGAGCCCCAGCCCCGAGGCGAGCAGGGCTCTTCCCGCCCCGGGGCCCCCCCGCACTCACCTTGAACGCCACGGGCAGCGTCTTGTTGCAGCGCCAGTGCGAGGGCAGCACGGAGCAGAGGAAGTTGGGGCTGTCGGTGCGCACGAGCTCGCCCGCGTGGTCCGCCAGCACGTCCACCATCGAGCGCACCTCGGGCCGGGCGCGCCCGCCGGGCCCCACGGCCGCCTGCGCGCTCAGCGCGCCGCTGTTCTCGCCCATCTTGCCACCGCCGCCGCCGCCGCCGCCGCCGCCGCAGGGGAAGGCCGTGGAGGGAGGTGTGAAGCGGCGGCTGGTGCTCGGGTCTACGGGAATACGCATAACAGCGGCCGTCAGGGCGCCGGGCGGGCGGCGGCGGCGCGGCTCCCCGGGGGGCGGCCGGCGCGGGCGCCTCCTCCGCCGCGAGGAGCGGGAAAGCAGAAGCGACGGGGTCGGCGGCTCGGGACGCTGGGGGCGGCGCCCGGGGACGCCCCGCCGGGGCCCGCCCGCCCGCCGCGCGGCCTCACCGCCCCGACGGCCGCGCTCGCCGCCCGCTAGTCCCGCATCCCCGGGCGCGCTGCCCGCGTGTGGCCGCCTCTTCGCCCCGCGGTGCCGGCGGCCGGCTCTGCGGCCGGGCCAAGCGCGGGCGGTGCCGCCGCCTCCCTCCCCCGCCCCCCCTCCGCTCGCGGTCGCCCCACGAACTCCGCGGTCGCCGCCCCAGAACAAATCCTCGAGAATCAAGTGGCGGCGCCGCGACCGCCCGCGCGGGGTGACTACCCCGGGGCCTGCGAGGGCGGGGCCGCCCGATCGACGCGACGCGCAGCCAATCGCAGCCCCGTGGCGGGCACCTCGGCCGCGCTCGCGGGGGAGGAACGGGGACCGCCAAGCCGCCCCGCGGGGAGGGGCGGAAGGCCCCGCCCCGGGAGGACGCCCCGGGTCAGGGGCCCCGCACCGCAGCCCGCCGAGGCTCCCCGAACGTTCTCGGGAGCCGGGCGCCCGGGCCACAATTTCATTCCCAACGTCCGGGCCCCACAGAAGTCGCCTTGGCTGAGGTCTCCCGGGCTCCGTCTCCCTGACGCCCCCCTCGCGCCGGGGCCGCGCCGGCTCCGTCCCCGCTCTCGCCCGGGCCGCCGCCCGCAGCTTTCGGCCTGCGGTGCCCGCACTCCCGCGCCCGGGAATCGCGGGGAGCCCCATCTCCGCCCCCGCCCTCCGGGCCGGTGACATCGAGTGGAGCGACCCCTCACCCCCCAAAAAGAGGCTCCTCGCCACCCCGACCTCGCGAATGAATTATTCTGACCCCGACGCCTCCGGCGCACGCCACCCCGACACGCGCCGACAGCGACTTTGGGCCGGGCCCTGGCCAACCCCGATGCCAACCCCGAGGCCGGGGAGCGAGTGTCTCCCACGGGCCCGCGTGCGGCTCGGGGGGCGCCCAACGCCGCTCCTCTTTTTTTTTTCCTCCCCCGCAAAACAACTTTCGGGATCGCGCAGGCCTCGCCGCCGCGACCTGTTTTATTGTGGTGGCCCGAGGCGCTTGGGAGGGGGGGGGGAGAAAGACGATGGCGTCTGAGGAAACGCGCGTGTGTCTCCCCTCATCGTCCCCTCCGCGCACATGACCGCTGTCCTGCGCCGCGAAAGAGTCGGTGGTGAGAAGGAAACTGTACGGAGCACGCGGGAATGGCCTGGGTCCCAGCGAAGGGCCCTGACTTCCAGAGAAGGCGGTTTTCTTCCTCCGGGTCGAGGCAGGCCGGGCCCCGCGGGGTCATGCCCGCCTTCCCCGGCGCGGGGCCGCCCTCTGCGCGCCGACCCCGGCCCGGCCTGTGGCTCTCTGCCCGCCCGGGGCCAGCGCGGCTCGGCCCGGCCACTGTCAGGGCGTCGCGGCCTTCCCGGGCGAACATGACTGGGGACGGGCCCGAGCGGGGAGGGGATCCGGACAGACCAAGCCCCGATTCACTCCGGATTATTGCTCCAACCCGCTCCCCGGGCCCCGGGGAACGAACTCGTGCGCCCTGCCCCCCGCCCAAGGGAGATGAGGCGGCATTTTCGTTGTCCCCCGACGTTCGACAGGTGCGAAACGAACTCCACGCTTCTGGTGCAGAGAAGCGTGGGAGTCGATGGTGGCCGCAAGATTTCGCCTTGGTGCTGACCTCTGGCCCTGTGGGAACCTTTTGGGCGTAGCCGAACGAAATCGAGCCCTGGGTGCGGGGCTGCGGCTCAACTTGGACCCCCCAGGACGGTTGATCCCTTCTCCTCTCCGGCCCGGGTTCTTGGCCGCCCTTCATACCGTTCCGATGGCGGGGACGGCCAGGGCCCTTTTCGGGATCTTTGCACAGCGCCTGCCCCTCGGCGTGGCGGATCCCTGGCACCCGAGGCCGAGCCCCGCGCTCTCGGAGGCCCCGGGACCAGCCACAGAACCAGAAGGGAAGCCCGGGCCGGGTGCCGCCACGTCTGACCTCAGCGAGCTTCCGCCCACAGCCCTCCGCTTTGTGGCCAGGTAGGGCCCGGGGCCAGGGGGGCGCGCGAGCACGTTGCCTGGGAATGGCCACGGGGCCCGCACCCGCGGCGTCCGGGGCTTGTAAATTCGATTTGTCGATTCGCACCGGGGCCCTGGCACGTCCCTCCACCGGGTTTCTCCCTCTTACCCCAGGGCGGTTTTGCCAACGGGGCTTCTCGAGAATCGGGCGCCTGCGGGCCGCAGCACCCGGTCCCCGGCCCCGGCGCGGCTCCAGCCCACGGGAGGGCGCTCGCTGCTGGTGGGCGCCAGCACCTGGGGACCCACCGGATTAGCGCGCAGATACCCCGCGGGAGGTCGCGGGGGCCGTCGAGACCCGTGCCGTCCCAGAAGCTGCCGCCAGTTGGCGCTCTCAGCCTGCCGGCTGCGGGGCTGCCGCTCCCGGCCACCGGCACAGCTGCGCGCCAGCTGCGGTCCCCGTGTCCTAGCGCCACCCGCCGTCCCCTGTGAGCGGCTTCTCTGCGACACAAGTCGCGTCCAAGTCTTCACCTTTGACACGGCGGACACATCTCAACAAACCAAATGGCATCTATCAGGCCGAAAGCTGCCTCCAGGTCGCCTCGGGACCCCGACGCTTTCTGGCTTCACAAACGCGACATCTGAGGAGCCCCCGTGCCCCGCAGAAGGTTCTGCCTGCAAAAGCGCGGCTTGGTCCTGTTCTGGGGGACTGGGAAGCAGCACGTAGGAACAGGCCAGTTCCTTCCCGGTTTCCAACTACAGTGAACCCGCCTTCATCTCTGGTCTACAGATTTAAGGTCGCCAGCATCAATCATTCTATCCCTCCCCCCCCCCTGCCCCCACGGTTATTTTTGGACCGCACCCTGTGTATCTCTGGTCTCCTCTGGACTCTGGGGTCTGCTCACTGATGGCTTCAGACAGTGCTGGGGGACCATGCCTTCCATGCTTCACCCCCATGAAGCTCCTTCTGATCCCCAATCACTATTTTCTCTCTCTCTCTCTCTCTCTCTCTCTCTCTCTCTCTCTCTCTCTCTCTCTCTCTCTCTCTCATTGACATTTGGAATGGCAATGTCCAGCTCCTAAGTGGGGGACTAACTGCTCCCGCCCTTCTGGGCTCTACATGGACAGCTCCCTCGCCTCCCTCTAACTCCCCACTTCAAGCTGCCAGTCTGGGGGAATGGCTCTAGCACCCCAAGTTGTTGCAAGAGGGTGATGAAGCCCAGAGGTCTATGCTTATCTTGACCAGAGCTGAGTGAACAGAATCCAGTATGGGGCCTGCAGTGCCAGAGTTTGGGGGGGGGGGTGTCACTCTTCTTACTGTCATCTTTCCTTACCCAGGAGACCCTGTGTGTATATATAGCATAGGGGGGCTCTCCTGCGGCCTGAGGGGGTCTGGGAGTGCCTTCTAGTATATTCTTGGTGGTAAGGGGGGCGGCACACGTCTATCCTGCCAGCCAGAGAGCTTTCAAGGGCAAGTCTCACTTATGGGGAGTCCTTTTCCCTGGGGAGGGGAGAGACCCTCAGTGTGCTGGGCAGCAAGCCGGTATGCTCTGAGAACCTAAGAGGCTTCTTGGTTGTGGAAGCACTTGGGGCTACAGAAAGAAGCTCTTGGGGCTGGAAAGTCAGCCCTGTCTTCTACCACCTACCAGCGTTAAGGGAAAACCTCTCCGAGCTTCGTCTGTTTCATTATGAAGGGCGAGAGGTGGAGGGCAATGGAGACTTCCTTAGACTCATGTGTAAGGTGCTTACCATAGGCCTACACATAGGGGGTGCTGCCAAGTTACTCTGTAAAGATAAGGCTGGATGACCATGTGTTGGGGGATTTGGGCAAGTCCTTTCCCCTCTCTGGGCCTCTCACCTCCCTTTGTGAAACACCCAGTTCTTGTGTGCAGAACTTGCCATGACCCTGAGCAGAGGCTGTGGCTGTTTTATTCCCCTAGGTTCATCTAGGGGCTTCCTGGAGGAGGTAAAGACCACCTGTGACCCCCTTTGAGCTGAGGCAACTTGAAGAAACTTTCCATTGACCATCACTGGGCTGCCTGAATTTGGTGTTTGACAGCCACCTTCTCTCTAGACTCTCAGATCGCCAAACCCACTGACACCAGGAACATTTGTTCTTTTATCTCTTTCTGAGTCCTGGTCCAGAAAATTACACAGAGAACTCTATTCTAGAAGCTACATGATTCTCTTGGTCTCCATGCCCGAGTTCAGGGTGGCACCTCTTGCCTGCCTCGTGCTCCTGCATTCCAGGTGGGACACCCCTGTCTCTCACTGAGCCTCAGTTTCCTTCTCTTGCACAGAGGTCTTTCTAATCACCCCCACTTCCAAGACCACATCTAGGAAGGGAGGAATATTGTGTTTCACTGAATCTGAAATGATATTAGTTGTTCCATGTGAAAGAAAAAGCTGTTAATTAAAGTAGGACTTGTCTTCATCTCAGCCTCATATATAATGAATTATATATAATGTATATAATGCATCAAGTATAAAATATATCTGTCACTGCCACTGTCACTGTCCTCCTGTTGTTCATCAATTTACTCGAGTGGGCCCAGTTATGTCTCCATTGTGAGACTTGTTACTGTGTTTGGCATATTGAATACATCACGGGTAGCTTGCCAGGCTTCGCCGTGCAGGAGAGATACTTTCGGTAGCTTTCCAGGCTCTTAGAGAGGGGCAGAGCAATTAAACCCAGTTCGATTGGGTCGGCCGTGTGCAATGCAAATGCCCTGCCTCTGTTCTGTCGCTATCTACTTAGTAGTAAATGGTAATGAAAATATAATATGGTCTATGGGTTGAGGATCTTTACCCAGATAATCCAGCTCTGGGACCATCTTCTCTGGAAGGCCCTTGAAA